GAGCCCCCAGACTACACTCTGCGACAAAACGGTCCGCTCTCTAAATAGCGTCCATCCTTGGTAATAATTATGAGCAAGACATGTATTACAAAATTGAAAGTCACCGCAGCCAGTTTTCAACAGTGGCTCTATTTTCAATAGAGGAGTGGCCTAATCTATCTTATTTTACTCTTAGGTTGATAACAGACCTTGTCTTTCCAGTCTTTTTTTATAGTAGGGGTTTTACGGCGCCCGCAACTGCATAAGGTCATATGAGCGCCAAGGGGTGGGTGTCAACAGAGAAGTCTTTACAGGGAATTAGACTTAAACTGCTCACCTCTCCAGCTTCAACAGCACAAGGTCTGCTTCGACTATCAAGGCACCCTAAAATAGCAGGTCACAAGAGAGTGACAAACATACAAAAGAAGTAGAGGAAAATGACAATAGTAAGGATCAGGAAAGAAAAGGCAGCAGTTCCCTGTTGTAGATCAGGCACAGTTATGAGCGTAACATGAGTCAGCCCATTTACAATTCTACTATGCTTAAAAGAGAAAAGTCCCCCACTTTGGGAATGGCCTAAAGACACTTCAGTCAGTGGCACTGCCCCGGGGGGAGTTTTCAGTCTAATTTTCAGTGCTTATAATACATTCTTCAACTTTTTATTTATTTAAATCTTTAGATCTATGTAACCTTTAAAAAATCCCAGCAAATGTTTTTTTAAGCTCCCAAACCCAAGATTTTTGTTCAATAGGCCTACAGAGCATCGTCAAAGAGAAGTACGTGTAGATTTTTGGGTTGCCTACTTCAACAGAGGCGTAAGTTTTTACGTTTCGAACAAAGGACAGAGTGTGCCAAATAGGATGCTCGAGACAACTATGATTTCCCTGAATAAAACGTATTGCAAACTCGTAGGCCTATACTTTGCACGGTACGTAAGTGAATGTTCTATCTTGTATACGTTGTTATGTGGAAAATGGGTAGGCTACAATCGGGTTGAGAGGGTTCCAAAAAATGGTAGGGTAGGATATAAATCGCAAACAGGAATAATATTGTTTACAGAAACCCAAGCAAAAATAAAAATTTTTTTAAAAAA